ACGAGTAGATGTCTTTATCCCTGATTCACAAGCTTTCTAGTATATTTCCACTCTGACCAGACAGATTCTTTCAAAAGCCTTTCCCGTCCTCAGGATGAGGCAAATTTGGCAGGAGTTCTGTGATGCAGGGCCGGCGCCAGCACTTTCTAAAAACCTTCCCCCTGAAGTTGAACATCATAAATTTGACTATTGTCTTTATCACCATCAGAGTCATCACAGGACGTTATCAGAAGTCGAGCCAGCTCTGGGCAAAACCTCCTGGCCAGCCGTTACACTGACCGGCGAAGCTCGAAGATTAAAGAGATGGGGAGACAGAGGATGTGTGTTTTTCTGTCTCAGTCGCTGCCGCTCAGACAAATGTGGAAACCACATTTTGAGCGATGTACAGCTGTAGCTAAAGCAGAAGTTCATCTTGTTTCAACATTCCTCCAGCGATAAGAGGAACTAGTCAGAATCCTGCCTTTTTTTTACAGCCCCTTTTTATTCCTCTCTTGCTTTTTTATCTTTAACCACTGAAGGCATGAGGAATGATCTGGCAGCCAGATGACTAACAGACAAAATTTTAAGTTTTCCCACTTCAAATACATGTGCCTCAGAAATAGGGTACACAATTTTATAATCATAATTGGAAAAAAAAAAGAAGAAGTGTAACAGTGTTTCATTATGAATCAGTTATATGCAGCATGGTGGAAGCAAGAAATAAGATATTCATTATTTGCCTTCAATTATGCATCTTCGTTCGCTGGTGTGTTATCAAGGAGAGAAACCATTTGTGAATGTTAAAGCAACACAATCAAGGAAAATTATTGCAACAAGGATTGAAACTACCCTCAATTTATTCATTGAAAAAAGTTTATATCGTATGTACAGAGAACAGCAGAAACATATCTTAATGATACACTCTTGTAAAAAGGGAAATTGCACGGTGCTTACATATTGGTCATTTTTTTTTACCAGCATAGTACCATATTGTGGATAATAAAACACAATGAAGGATGGCCATAAAAACACAATAAAACAATAACAATATATTTCTCATTTCTCCCAGGACTTAAAAACATCCCCCGAAACAATAGCTTTATGGGAAAAATCCATATGTCACAGAGGCGGCGCACAAACATTAATTACACAACACAAATAATAAATGTGCATTATGGGATATTATCAAATTTGCATATGAAGAGAGGGGGGGGAAAGGACTCGTTAGATTTTGCAGGCACCTCCCCAGTTCATGATGAGACACATCAGTTAGAACAGCTGCTGCGTCAGAGATGACCCTCCCTCACGCAAACGCTCAGCTGCTGCCACTTTCATCTATCCAAAGCAGTAATTCTGCCCAAGTACAACAAAAAAACACAACAAATGTGTACGACTGACAGACAGATGAAGGAGATAAATGTAGAGAATAAGAGGAAGAGACAGCAAAAGTGAGCGCTGCCTCGTCGGTAACCTCTCGTTTGTACTGCAGACTCAGAGGAATAGTTGTGATTACTCCATTGACTGAATCATCTGCAAGGTCAGGCCTCCCATCTTCTCTCCCTCCCACTCCTCTGCTCCTCTCCCACTCAACAGCCAAGTGGTTCATATGGCTGCCAAGACATATTCATAGACATATTGGAGCATCCAGTTACTGGCAGCGTTTACAGACACTTAAACACATGTCCACCTACACACACACACACACACACACGCTGGAAAATTGGTCGACAAACAAGCACACTAGTGCTGTATTCTACATACTCTTACACTCATTTTTCTGTAGTTGTGAGGACCATATACCGTGACCAATGAATGAATCGTAGCCACGGGGTTCCTTTTAATCCTAAATCTAGTCGGAACCCTAAACCCGAGGCTCAGGAAACAACAGAGGCTTAGAGGCACAAATTTCAATATTAAAAAAATGGGACAAAGCATTTTCCTGCTTGTTTCAAACAAATAGAGGCCGTCTCCCAAAAACTGTGTTACTGTACAGCTAAACTGTGTCCTTAAACATGTATGGAGGAAACCGTGTTTGCTGACGGATTACATTTGGCGCATCACAATTATATTTTTAATCAACACAGCTTTGCCATACATTTCACTGTTTTACTGTCACTCCTTTTAAAGCAACCAGTCATATATTAGATGGGGCTAATCACCATGGTAACCCAGAAAATGGAGGAGAAGCTTCAAACATGTTGTAAAGGGGCCATACTTGAACCAAAATCCTTTTATTTTCATAAACCTAACCAACTACCTTTGGTGCATTAACCTAACCAAATAGTCATCAAAAACCAAAAGTTAATGATGACAATGAAACTCAAGTCGAACACGAATAATGTGAATCGTGTTGCTGCGCGGCTCCTGTCAACTGGAAACTTTTCCTACTCCATCAAAGTTTTGGAAAAAGAATACATTTCGGTCATACATAAATAAAAATGAAGTTTAGTTGTTGGAAAATATATGTTCAAAAATGCCTCACGTTTAAAATAATTCTGTTCTGTTACGCTACATCCACACTAATACAAAAATGAACTCAGTCCAGATGAGCCTATTCGCACCGTTTCAGAAATCTATATGCACACTCATGCCTGATTATTCACATCACATGACCATTAATATGCGCGGGTCATGTGGGTGCTGGTGTCTGCAAAAGGGCAGGGGTTGTTTGATCAGTTGTAGAAAATGTGATGAAGGAAGAAGAACAGCAGCTATGAGAAGAAAGACCAGAGATTCCTCTAATTGAATCACCGGCAAGGCTGATGACTTTGTTTTCTTTAGGAAAATGGTCACATGATGAATCAGGACATAGTGACAGTTTAGGTCCAATCAGAATGAGAACATGGGCGTCTGCCGCTGATTTCCCAAAAGTCGCTGTTTCTGCTCATCCAGACTAAAATGTAACCTCCGGGTGTTCAAATTAAACTGGGTCAGCGGCATTTCCAACATAGTTTAGGGGTTCTTAATCGCCAGAGTAGCGTAGACAGAGACATAAACAGAAGTTCTGCTTTTTAAATTAAATCACATTAGTGTGGATGTAACCTAAAATTAAAACCATTTTCCACTGATTTGAAGGACGGTAAATTCTGAACACGTTCATCATGGAGCAGCATATTGCATCGCTCCAACAGGTAAAGCATGTGAGTAATTCTAAAAAATAAAGGAGGAATCTGATCACCAGCCCCCTCAGGTTCACACCATCGTCTCCAGTTACATACGTGTCCTGTTGTCTTAGAGTAATCTGGTTTCTTCAGTCCTTATCCTTAATCTAAATCTAATTTTAACTGGTACTCAGAAGTAACCTTTGCCCTTCAAGAAAAATGTCCATTGCTTGGCCTGATAATGGAAATATTTTTTAAGGATGGAAGCACAAGAACACGCACACGCAGTCACACACACACACACACACTTTGAAAAATACACCACTAATTATTGATTTAACTGCGAAAAAGCTCCCGAGTGGTTTTCCGTCAATGGACATAATCATGAAGGAAAACAAAATCAGCACCATTGTATGTGGTCAATGGACAAGCCGTCCCACACTGAGGCCATCCGTGGCAGAGCTGATGCGGTTTCCTGTGTAACCGCTCTGATGAAATATTCAGCGAGGAACAGCTCAGACACCTAAAGGCCAACAGGCTTCTGTTACAGCCAAATCATTCTAGGTGACGCCGGGGCCAGAGAAACCATATCAAGGTCGCTGTTTCTCTTTCCTCACCACACATGACAACAAACACACACAATGGGGCGCATTTATATTTAATGAGGCACATTAATTAATAACCCAGACCTGACCCCATTTACACTGCTGGGTTCCCCGGTTGGGTGGGTGGGTGGAGCTGAGCAGGAATAAAGAAGATCTAAAGCTGTTTTCCTCCACTGAGAGTGCCGTATGGTGAAGGCGACAATGTGAAGAGAGAGAAAAAAAGTGAGATAAAGCAGCTGGCAGAGAGGAAGAAAGAATTCAGGATTATCATATTGAATACAAGAGGGGGTTGGAAAGAGGATACAGCCTCTGAGTAAATGCTGTATCTGAAACCAAAAGGGACAATTGCCTGAACTTAGGGGGATGGGCGCTCATGCCCAAAACCCAAGCTCTGACTCTACAGTTCACACAAGCTTCTTAACCTCCACACTCTGTCAGCGCATGTCAACTCCTGCCATCACACACACACACACACACACACACACACACACACACACACACACTGATGCACGCACAGTGTTTTGCTTGATAAAGCCCCCATGAACTGCAAAAAATAAGCCACATTTACACAAGTATGCTAATGACTAATTTTGCTGCCAGCACCTGGGTGCTACAAAAACACGAAGTCTTTGCATAGAACTGTCGATGAAGCAAACTTTAGAAATGTTGCAGAAACATTAAAAAAACGGCATTGATTTGTTTCCATTAACCCCTTCGGAGTGAATAATCGAGGCTGTGTAGTGTCGTTAGAAGGTAGCGATGCAGGCTACATGACACATGGATGGAGTAAAGAGTAGAGTAGAAGAAGCTGGAAACAAAATCAGCTGTTTACCAATGACTAAAAAACACTGAAGAAGAAGAAGGAACAAATCAAATTTATGGCATCTAGAAATAAGAAAATGGAGAAAAGTCTTCAGGAATTGTTATGATTAATTAATAAAGTTAAATGGTATCGGCCATGTTTCATGCTGTTTGGAGACAAAGACAATAGATGAAGCCAAAACAGCTGACCAGTCATGTGTTGTTTGCTTCAGAACTTATTTGGGGGAAAAAAGGTGTTTCCATCTCCTATTATGTGCATTAACTACTTTCGAACAAATGTAAAAACCTCAGGATCAGCAGGATCAGCATGGTCGTGGTTTAGGCTATGTCAGGGGTTCTCAACTGGTGGGTCGCGATCCAAAAGTGGGTCACGGACAGCTGGTCAATATTAAATAATATATAATGTGCGTCTCAGGTTGGACTTTCTTTTTATTTTGAAAAAACTTTTATTTTGACAGGCATGGTAACCATAGTGTGTTATGTTCATTTTAAGTTTGTGTTGATGTTGGGATGCAAGATGGCAAAGCGCAAATATGACCCGGAGTATTGAAAACATGTATTTTCATACTAAGACTGGACCCGAATAGCCAACTATTCCTCCGCTGTGCTGGAATCAAGATATCAGTTTGGATCTCCGAACACTGAAAATGTGGGTCCCAGGGTGAGACCAGTTGAGAACCCCTGGGCTATGTTATACATGGTGGTAGAAGCCAGAAACAACCAACCAACCACTAAGAAACCCTAAAAGAAGAAGGAGAAGTAGAAGAAACAATCAAAGATAGAGGCTTTCATTAGGTGTTCTGCTGTCAGATGTAGAGCTGCGCTACCGGACGGGTCAAAACTGCACATCATGAGTCAAACGATGGGGTTGATGCCTACAAAGAGCGAACAATCGATGGACTAAAAGGCACTTATATACACGGAAGATCACAACGCTGGACAAATAAAACATCTCAGATCATTTCTTTTTGATACAGTTAAAAAGGATCATATCATTAAATTCTTTTTAAATATTAACATTTTATAACAACGATCCCATAAAAATCTTTGTACCTCAGTATTTTATAAAAAACTTGCCTTGTTTACCCTCTTTGTATTTATTTTTTTTCCCTGTAAATGCCTGTAAGGATCAGTCCTAATCTCCCACGAACATTCGTTTTCCTTTTTCTTTTCACTGTCTCAGGAATAAAACAGCCTTCCTTTCTCCGAACCCTGAAGCCTGCTGAGCTTGGCGAGTTGGGAAGGTGACGGGGGTACGTCCTGTCGGTAGGGGCCTTTGGATTGAGGTGGGGCCTGTGCTGGGGCCTGTGCCGGGGCCTGTGCCGGGGCCTGGGCGTGGTCTCCGTTGTGGTCGTAGGTGCTGCCACTGGGGGCTTCCTGGGCGGGAGGCGGCCTGGCCTTGTTGGCCTCCTGCTCTTTGCGTCTTTGCTCCTGCCTCAGCAGCTCCTGGGTCTCTAAGAGAACACGGGCGTTAAAGCTGGACGTTCCAAGGTAGCCGTTACGTGAGCTCTGGCCCCCGGAGTAGCGAGGGTTCTCTTTGGACGTCTGGAGTCCCTCTGCTGGCATGTACACCTTGTCCCACGACTCCTGGGACACTGTGCTGGGGTTCTTGCGAGGTTGCCTAAACGCACAAAGACAGGGACAGAGGTCAACGGCGATGTTCAGTGAGTCCCATTAAACAGCGGCTGCATCTAAAGTGAAAAGAGGACGGCAGTTAATTCTGCTCAAAAAAGATGATTTTTTTTTTCTCTCTCCGCAGCCTCTGGGTCAGCACTATTGAAGGGGAATTCAAAAGAAACTGCACTTCAGCAGAGAATGCAGCCATTTTCACATTTTATGAGATTAAAAGGGGGATGTGGTCGTGGTATTCACTTAAAATATTGAAAGCAACATGAGTGGAGCAAAGAGGGATCTGTTTTAGCCCGCTGCATGATTACACTGAGTCCAGTGACATAAAGACCAAGACATGAAAGAAAAAGGAAACAAACGGCGGAAGCCTGAAACGCCCACAGGACTATTAGTTCCACATTGTAAACAAACACAAATGTTAAAACCTCCATGAGAAAAATGGCTGCTTTCATCCATTTAACTCCTTTTTGGAGGCTGCAGACGGGTGCACTTACAGAGCAGACAGAGTAATGGCAGGCCTCACGGCATTATCCGCCTTCTACTCATCTTCAGCCGGCCTGCCTGCTCCTACACTGACAGGACAGCACACGATGCACGCATATCATCTCTCATACAAAAAACAATCTAACGCACACGCGTGCCTTCCACCACACATGCTCACCTTTCCAGAAATTGGCCCTGGAAAGCCGTCATTGGAAACTGCTAGGTCTTTGGCTAAAGTGTCAACTCTGCTCCTCCATTATTACCATCCATTAAGGCCTATGTGCGATGGAAGACCTGTGACAGTGTCTTTTGCATCAAGGGTGCTAAGAGAAATCCCATTCACACCTCACTGACCCACTGTGTGCTTAAAAGGCTTTTGAGTTCACAGCACAAGACTGCAGAGGGAGACAGGGGCCTGGAATGCTTTTAGACCAAAACACCTGCAATTCTTGTCAGGCTGAGTTTCATTCCAGCAGCTCAGAGGAACAGACAGGAGACTAAATAGGCTATTTATTGTTCAAACATCGTTGTTTCTTTTTTTTGTCTAAAACTCCACACTTGTGGGACAGAAATGGATCTATCTTCTTATTTTGTATGTACTGCAAAGTGTTGCTTGACAGAAAGACAATCTGGACAATACATTTGATCATAGACAAGAAAAACATTCTCTAAACTTTGTGGATTAGAAACTATTGATTCATAGCCAGTGGCGTTACCAGTTGTGATTTGACCATTCAAAAATAAAACGACATGTACATGCCTTCTCTGTCTTTGAAATGAGGCTTAAAACTTTCCTTTAGGTTAAGCTTGTACTTTGGGTTGGTTCACCCGGAACCCTCTCTTATTGATGCTGCTATCGGCCCCGACTGCTGGGGTGTTCCCACGATGCACTGGGCCCCTCTGCTCCGTCCTCCTCTATTTCTGTTTTCATACATTATGTGCTACCACTGCCTGTCATTAACTTTGTGTCCCCTCTGTTTCTCTCTGCTATCCTTGTTTCTGTCCACTCTAAGCTGTGATTGTACTCCCATGCACACGGACAGCTGTGGACAGAAGTTGTTGCTAAAAAAAACTATTTTTTTGTCCACTACAGTCCACTTGAAAAACTCCGTTCCATACATGCATTCTATGCATGCCCACTATTGCAGAGCATACACCTATTGTCCGTGTAGCATAACAAAATTTGCTTAGCACAGCATGCCCTCATGTACTTCCACAGAGGGAAAGTATAAGACTCACTCCACCTGGTCGAGGCAGAAGGCCGCCTGACCTATGCCTGGTTCTGCTGGAGGTTTCTATTTATTTCAATTCATTTTTTTCTTCTCACTGTTGCCAATATGCTTGCAGAAGGCTCTCCGTTAGATTCTCTGGGTTTCTCTCTATATTAATAGTGTAAGTTTGTCACCTCAGAGATGACCAACATTGTGAACTGAGCTGAATTGCAAGAACTGAAACCACCTGCTTGTGTTTTCTCTCTTTGTGTGGTGACATACATCCAGCAAAGTCCATCCATCCATTATTTATTATCTATACACCCCTTATTCCTCACTAGGGCTGTGGGGGGGCTGGAGCCTATCCCAGCTGACTTCTATCACAGGGCTACACTTAGAGACAGACAACCACTCACATTCACACCTAAGGACAATTTAGAATCACCAATTAACCTCAACATGTTTTTGGACTGGGGGAGGAAGCCGGAGAACCCGGAGAGAACCCACGCTGCACGGGGAGAACATGGAGACTCCACGCAGAAAGATCACAAACCGGGAATCTTCTAGCTGCAAGGTAACGGTGCTAACCACTGAGCCACCTTGCAGCCCTCTAGCAAAGTCATCCTCCCTAAAAACCTCCTGCTGACTGTGGTCACTACGCTGTGAACACAACCCAGGCACTGCAGCAGCTTCCCTATCCAGTCACAGAACAAGGGAAAGTAAAATGTAAACACGGTCCATGTGGAAAACATAATGAAAGAGCAGTGTCTGGTGTTGTTGTGGTGACATCAACAGATACGAGTTCTCTTCAATTACAAACTAGGACCCACCCAACAGGTACCTACACCAGGGTTGTCATTAACCCCTTGTGTCCAACGTCCATCCAGCTTATGGATTTGAAAAAGCATAAAAACATGGAATATGCTGTTCCTGACATTTAATTTAAGTCACCCTTGTTAAACATGTTTTTTTATATCATCAAGTCTGTGTAATGAAAGTCCCACATTTCCAGCATTACTAATGAAAGCCCTTGTGGTTCACAATGTTTAAAGGGAGCGAAGAGCTGAGGCACTTTTAAGCTAAGGTCCTCATTTATGCATGTGCGGACAAATGTCTCTGCATTTATGTGCTGTAAATGTGCAACACAAACACCTCGTCTTGTTCCGCTGTGCATATGTATGTGTGTGTGTGCATGAAAGTACGTATGAGGGTAATTGGCGGAGGGGCAGATGTAGGGACAGACTGCAGAGAGAGCCCCACCACATGCTCCATATCTGGGTTTTGCTGTCTGGGCGAGCCGCCACGCATTTACACCCCGGCTTGGCTTACGGAGCAGCCAGAATTGTTCATGAGGGAGCCGCTTGTTTAGAAACCCGGGACGCCTGTTGCACAAGGCGGCGATCTGTGTTTCCAGAATGACCTTTTAGGTTTTAAAGTAGACAAGAGAAAACGGGGGAGCCTTCGACGGCGAAGAGCAGAGAGCGGAGATGGCATTGTTCCACAGGAATGTAATCGTGATTGATGCGTCAGGGGATCTAGTTCCCTTATCACCTCTACTCCTGCGCCAGAATATGTCACAAAGTAGATTAGTTACATTTACAGAGGGGAGGGGATGGGAAAATATATCATGCCAAAGAGTGGGGTAAATTTAGAATGACAGAAAATAACAAACAAAGCCAGGAAGTTGGCTTACACAAAAAATTTGTGGCCGCTGTGTGTTTCTTTAAAACAGCTGGGAAGAATCAGAGTTTATGAGAAGGAGGAGGAAGCTCACACACACACATGCACAGACTCAGAATGATTAGGGAAAAGCCCCAAATGCATCCAGTGGGCAATGGAACAATCGCTTCTATATTGTACAAATAAATTGTCTACAAACGTGGAATAATATTTTCTTTATAGCGTGGAACGATGTTGTTCTGGCTGAGGAGAGCGCAAACTGCTCGGGTAGACGGGGGAGCTACTGGCTGTTCTCTCAGGCCACAGCTAAGAACCTTATCTTGACGGCATTCATGTGAGTGTGTATTTTTGTGTGCGAGTGCGTTTCTTTCAGGCTAATCAGTGGTCTCTCCTTCCTACTAAAACACTCGTTCCTCTCCTGGCCCCTCTCGCCCTCCGCTGCCTGTCACCGCTAATCCTGCTCCAACAACAAGCCTTCATTAGTGCTCTTCCAATCCTAACAGCCCAGACAGCGAGCTAAGCCTGGCCGTCATCAGATAACCAGCTACCATAGCTTCTTCTGGAAGCTCTTTGGGTTAGAGGGTTTTTTTTTTTGTGTGTGTTTTTTTGTGAGGGAATGTCCCCTTTTCAGCTGAATGGCTCACTGCTCAGGCTTCCTGTTTTGGAAGAGAAGGACGGGATGAGGAGGTTCCAAAAAGCGAGGTGGCTGGAGTTAGACGGCTGCGGTTATTAATCTGGGCATGTAAGACTTTAGCTTTTTAATGAGGAGCAGAACCGAGACACGAGCTCTGAAAAGCCTGAGCCAGGGTCAAACGTCAAGCCTGAGCTCATGCGACTCTTTGCTCAAAGACGCTATGAGATTATGAGAGGAATGCATATCAAAGGCCATCCTCGGCTGGCTTTTTGGCTGGCCACATGAACTTTCCAAAGAAAGGGAACTCACTGAGGAGGGGGGGACTCGGCACTACTGTCACATTACATGAGAAGCCAGCAGATAACACCTAGGAAGGGAATGCATAGATCAGTCTGGCTTATACACACCACATTGATTATGTGTCCATGTGGACCGCAAATCCATAACCATAGACAGGAACATGTTTTAATCGACCAAACTGTGTTCACAGGCAGCAGAGCAAAAGGGAACAGCTATGAAGAAATGATTGTAGGGAGAGACTAAAACACAGGAGAGTAGAGTTAGCCAAGAAAATGAAAAAGACCACACACACACATATAGCACAATACACACACACACACACACACACACACACACTGAGTGTCCTGTCTTTGTTTAAATTGGCAAGCAGCAAAACTTAAATAAACCTTCACTTGCAGCATTTTAGACCATACTGTACATTTCATAACATCGAAAACTCACACTGGATTGTTTTCAGTGTGGAAACATTTAACAATAATGTTTATTTTATTATAAACTTCTAATTCCTGCGTCAGTCGCTCAATGGGTAGAATTAGCGCCTTTAGGGACCTTTCCTTTAAGGACGTAAAGCTTCATATGTGGACATTTTCCACCAGCAATGGTTGGCTTGGCAATTTAAAGTGAGAGCAGAAAGCTTCAGAGGACTCTTTCCAGAGCGATGACAGAAACTGCAAAAATTGATGCTAAACTGGTTTCCCCCCCGAGGCATTGAGATGTAAGATACGGTAAGCTTTATTGGCATTTCTTTGACTAATATGCAAAAGAATCGAAACAGGAAGATGGAGAAGATGGAGCACAGTGTGTTCTGAACTCAAGCTGAGTAAGGCAAGACACTGCCAAGAGAAAATTCCTTCTAAAAACATGACGTTCGAGCTGTTATTCATTATGAGGGCCGTTGTTGGAGAGGAGGGGGCAGCGCCTGTCACAAAGTCACCACTTCCTTGAGGTCAGCGTTGACTTAATGAAGTTAAGTATCAGTCAAATAATTCCAAGCGATCACATTAAATGATTTCATTGAAAGAATTTTGCTAAGATTCATTTAAATGTCTGGAGATGAGTTGAAAGTGACTTTATGGTGATTGACTTTGAGGGTGACCAAAGAGATAGGCAAAACAAAGAGAGGAGAAAAAGTAGAGGAAAAAATGTGAGAAAAAGAAAGATAGAAATCGAAAAAGTCAAATGAAGGGGTTGAGAAAGGGCAGAAAGGATGTGATAAGACGGGGAAGGAAGGAGACTGACTGATGCACAGACAGACGGAATAAAGGAAGAAGAAGAAGAAGAGGAAGGATGTCTCACCGAGGCAGGGAGCTGTACTGTCTTGGTGCTTGTTGGAAACCATCTCTGTCATCTTGCTGCTGTTTCTGGACCTGAGAATCGACCGTCACAGAATGGCGTCCGCTCTGTGTGGCGTCCGTCCCATTGGTCACCTGTTAGCATCAAATAAAGTCAGGAAGCACATGGTTCAGACACCAGACAGAAGTAAAGCCAAACATGTCTGGTATCTCCAGACCAAAGCATGTTGGGTCGCACACTCATACACAAACGAACACGTAGATGGTGGAATATATTTCCCTCAGCACGGCGGGTGCTTTGACAGTGTGATGCCTCCTGTGTGTTGGACTGGCCTCAGGGAGCAGCTAGTTAGGAGGTGTGACTCCATGATGACCGTGGCACTAAAAAATGCACCTGTGCTTGTGGATAAAAAGTCTCCTGATAATGTTGAAGGATTACTTCAACAGGATATGATTGTTTTCTATCAATTACAAATCCTGAGTATACCAAATAGCTTTCTTTATTCTTGAAAAAGGAAGTGTTTACAGTTCAACCAAAGATGCATATTGATTGTATTCAAATGTTAAAAAGTTGAAAATATCATAATATACATATTTGCAAAAAATGACGATTAACATCGAAAAAGAAGATGATTATATTTGAGAAGACAACACATGCTCAAAGCAAAGTCAAACCAATGCCGTTGTAGTCTGACTAACAGAACGTACACTTTGGGTATAAGTGTGCTCTTTACATTGTACACTTCCTGTGGGATCCTCTCCCCTTCCACTATCTGTATGTTACCATTGTTACAACCCCCTTATCTATGGAAAACAGCAACCTCCAAGCAACAACCTACAATCAGCACTACATGAAGAAGATTGTAAGATCAGAAATGCCTGCTTCGTTCTTGCAGTAAAGCAGCCCTTTTAATGACAGTGCTAGCCTCCCTGGATGCCAATATTCCACCAAAACAATTCCCTTGTGACTATTTTGTTGGGGCATCACCACTGTATCCTGGGCCTAGCACTGCCCAAGATGGCTGCGATTAATTTAAAAAAAGAATACTCACAAACCAAAAGGGTTTGTTTCCCCTTATAAGAGAATGAAAACAAGATGCTGCCACACCGTTCTCCAGTGGCGACACAGTGCTGTAGAGATGTGGCTTAATGAGACTAACACAAAAGTGCCAAAAACTGCAGTTTCTCCAATGGTCACTTGAGGCTAGTTTCAAAAGCAAGTCAATCCCCACAGACCTCCTGTTAAAATGTCCAACGTTACAGCAGAAATAAGACAAACAGCCTGGTACGAAAAAATGTTTCAGTCTCAAAAGTTAGTTTCTTTGTCCATAAAAACTGTACACAGGGAATCTTTACCAAACTAAATTGAATTAAGGGTTAGAATTATGCATAATTAAGGGTGTGGTCACTTTAAATGCCACTTGGGTACCATCACAGGACCCTCTATGGCCCACCTCAGCTCCACCCCGCTTCACCCCTTTGCTCGGTTTGGAGGAGTCAAGCACTTCTAACATAGCGATGGGTGGAGACATCACACTGAGCTTCAAAACCACTGTTGAGGAAGGTGTTTGGAGGGTTTGTCCATCTTTACGTGCTGTCACTATTTCAAAACAGCAGATATTCTCATTGACTGAAGCAAACAACTAGTTGAGAACATTTCCCAATCTGTTTACTATAAAAATGAACCATGACCTGCATTAACTGTACAAAACAAAATACCTGAGCATTACTGGTTTTACGGCATGTCATGATAAGAAGTTCAAAAGAAAGTTCTGTTTGAAGACCTAACAGCCAAAGAAAATCATTTAAACCATCTCCTGACAGGAGAATGTGTGAATATGTGACTGATGGAGAATTAGCTGCACCTAAAAATGTGTCAGGAAAAGTTATGCAAGTGTGGGATTTGTTTTCTGCTTTAACCAAAGTATTTCACATTTCATGCTCGTTAGAGAGAAGATTCAGGAATGAGTCAAGAACGAGGATCTTAACCTTGGACTAACAGAACTTGAGAAGCTCTTTAGAAACTCTGATAAACAAAAGAATAAATAATAATCAAAGTCTTATGTAAACAGATCATGTTAAAACTAATAAGTCGTTTATTAATATTGTTGTAGTCTGGTTAAAGAAATATCCAATGCATTGTTGGGTTAGGTGCTATTTTGACGTCATTAGTTGTGACTTATTCAGGATATATTAATATTTCAGTGACTTGGTGTGAAACTTTTCTTTCAGATTTATTCTCATTATTTCTCACAGTGTCACATATTCATACTTGAAGTCTGTTTTTTGGCTTGATGGAGCTCTTTTGTGCCATCTGTAGTAAACATCACTGCTCTTGCTAACTACAGGTTGCATCAGTTTGGCGCTTAAGAACACAAGGAAGAAACGGGTGTAAGCACCACGACGGTGTGGACGACATTAAATATAGATGAGCATTACCAGCTTCATTCCACACATTTGTCTACGCACCGCCAGCAGTGTGTATGTGTGTTTGTTGTCTGATCATCTGCGAGGTTGACATGGAGATATCATCTCCCTCAACACCGGCGCGCTGCTAACGAGCTGGCTGATGAAAGAACATGACAAGCCAATTAAACAGAAGTGAGCTGAGGAGGTGTCGCGAGCGTGGCTTGACCGAGTGTCAGTTTTCATGAAGCTCGGACGGTAATGTGGCAGGCAGGTGCCGGCGGATGGTTTGTGGGCATACATTCCTGCTTAACTAAATATTAGCACATTTTTTTGCCTATTTTACTGGCTAGCTGAGTTCCAAAATTAACCAGCATCTCCAAAAGTTCAGTACTTGATAGGCTGTAAAGAGCGTTTATTAGATGTAGAAAATCGGTGTAAATGTGTTTGCGGGGCTGGTGGTAGAGGAGCAGCGCTACACGGCAGAGTGGATTGTTGGGCTAAAGGTGTGTTGGCAGAATAAAAGGCTGTCAGTAAAAACATCTTCTTGGAAACATCTTGTGTTTCTGAAATGGCTGCTTTCCTCCTCACATGGACAGCTGCAATAACAGCGCAATTACATTTCACTCAGCGTCAATAGCAAGTCCTTTCTCAAGCTTTCCAAGTTCTAAAAACATAATAGTATTCCACGTGGGTGAAGTGAATTGGACTCATATGTTTCAGGTTTCTGTGCAACAACATGTTCCTCCGGCTCAGAAAGTGTAGAGCACATAAACGAATATCAGATGAACTGTAACGGGAAAGGAGAAATTATTTTACCGGAGCCAAATGCGGTGGGTGAGAAAATAATTAGTCACGCACACTGAAAGTTCTTGATGTGATTTGAAAGGAAGTGGAGAGGAATCCGGAGGTGCCTGACGCTTCGGTTTAAAACTGAAGGGTTGAGGTGGATGACGCCATGCCAAGAGAAATGCATGAGAAATATAGCCAGGAGAGAAAATCAGTCAGTGTAATGGCATTATCCAGGGAAGGAGAATCAGATTATTCCATGTTAGGCCTGGAATACAATGCCATATAAAACATGACATTTGTTGAAATCGAATCAAAGAGACGTCCGTGTTTGTTTTTATCCAATAATGTGAAAAATGATGTCAATACAGCACACTTTTATCTCTCCCCTGTTTCCTTGCTGGTGTCGTAGACAAAGCAGGGAGGAAAAGGAATTCTCCACCTGTTTAAACATAAGAGCCAGGGGGGACGTAATTATGAAAATTATTTGCAGCTATCAAGAATCCCGGACGAGGAAAGCAGCTGGATGGAAGCTTTAAAAGTTCAAACCGTAAGCAAGACAGCCCGGGTGTAATATTTCTTGGTTCAGATCTGGTCACAAACCTTTCAGATATCAAAGCAGGTCCCTGTGATGGGTCAGCACTAACATGTGGCTTTACCACCCACACTCCTCATGATAGTATGCTTGCAGCTCGCCGCATAGGGAACAGTTTGAAGAGAGCAGCCAAGCTGTACACAAACAGACATATGGAAGACATTTAAGTTGCTAATGGGCAGACAGAACAAGAAGAAAGTGAGAGAATGGCAGTGAAACACCACATCCTGACGAAAGCCCAGTTGGATAATGACTCTCTCTTAAAGTCAGCACGCCGGCCCAATTCTGCCAATTTATTATAAGCAAGCTCAGTCCATTTGTGGTTGCCGGGGTGTGTAGCTCCGGGCGGAGTATCCATCTGAGAGCAAGCAGTGTGGCCTGCCATTTCCCGGTCTCTGGCCCGAGAAACCAAAGCGAATGGAAGGTTGGTTTGGTTATCTCCATATCGCTTACGGACTTAGCGGCGTGCACAAAGGGCAGAACAAAATGTTGGAGTGTCGTTTTTTTTTTTTTTTTTGCACTAAAGTTATCTCTGTAGATAAATGTGTGAGGTAATAGGGCTGAAAACATTATTATGACTAACATAAGAGGAGTGGAATCGTTTGGCTCTGCTCTTCACCCTCTATCTTATCTGTAAACAGTTTCATATCTGAGCAAATTGACTGCAATAAAATTGTCGGACGTGTAGGCATGCTTACATCTGTGCACTCGGGTGGCTGTGAGTGCAGATGTGTGTTTTATCTGTGATTTGGTAGCGGGCCTGAACAGCACATTACTGTACGCACTATAAAAAAGATCCATTCCACACCCAGGACCAAGCTAAACAGCTGTCTGTCAGGTGTGTAGAAATGATGGCATGTCCTGTTGCCTGTGGCGGTTGGAACCATGAGAGTAAACCATGCTTCACTTCTTGCACAATATTAAACAGCACGTATCCATAATTCACAGATGTGACCTTGCATCAGTGTAGTCGAGCAAACTGAGTGAAGCTTGAAAAAAAGATCAATTAAAATCATCATAATCGACAGAGGGATGTGGCTACAAAACAAAAATATAAGCGACGTTTTGTGATGGAGATAGCAGCGAGAGGAAAATAAGTCACATCTTGAAGAAAGAGAATCCTCTGACCACGATAAAAAAAACTCACAGATGTACAAGATCGGTTATACGATTCCCCTGCTGCTGTCTAGAGTGTGTCACGGTCATCCCCACGACAATATGCACAATATTTATGAGAATGCTGCAATAATGGACACAATTCATTAAAGGTTTAAAAGAAGAAAATTCAGAGATTTGTCTCCAAAGACATACATGTCAAAAAAATAAATAAACTGCTGAAAACATA